TTTTTTTTTTTTTTTTGCAGTTTTTGGCCAGGGCTGAGTTTGAACCCACCACCCTTGGCATATGGGGCCAGTGCCCTACTCCTTAAGCCACAGGCGCCACTCTCTGAATTATTTTGTTAATTAAATTTTAAACAAAATATTTCCCTGCCTTTGGACGTGTGGTAGATAAAGGCTTTTTGTTTGCGCTTTTCTATTTTTTTATATGCCTTAAATACACACAATAAGATTTATTTTTTAAAAAATTGCTTCTGAAAGAACCCAAATGGAAACACATCCATTGAAGTAGAGTGCAGGGAAGAGGGTGGCCAGCAGCCCCAGACTCAGATTGAGGGGAGCAGGCACAGGCTTCTGAGAGTCAGGGTAGGGCTGGATTTTAATCTCTAGTTGGCTCTATCCTTTTTTTCTTTTATTAGATCATAACTGTATGCATTACTGCGTTTATGGGGTACAATGTGCTGGGTTTTGAACTTTTTTTCTATGATGGAAATTATCCAAAGGTTTATTTCTTTGACTTTACTTTTTTTTTTTTTTTTTGAGACAGAGTCTCACTATGTCACTCTCAGTAGAGTGCCTAGGGCATCACAGCTCACAGCAACCTCAAATTCTTGGGCTCAGTCGATTCTCCTGCCTCAGACTCCTGAGTAGCTGGGACTACAGGTGCCCATCACAATGCCCAGCTATTTTTTTGGTTGTTGTGGTTGTCGTTGTTTAGCAGACCCTGGCTGGGCTCGAACCCACCAGCTTCTGTGTATGTGGCCGGCACCCTACCCACTGAGCTATGAACACAGAGCCTAACTTTACATTTTGACAGTGAGAAGCCTGATGCTACATATTGTGTTAGTTCGCCTATCAGTATATAATTTTAAATTGGCTTAATTACTCCGGTGGAATATTTAAGAGATTTTAAATTTGGCCAGGTATGGTGCCTCTTACCTGTAATCCCAGCACAATGGGAGGCTGAGGTGGGTGGAGGCGAGTGGATCTCTTGAGCTCAGGAGTTCAAGACCAGCCTGATAAAGGGCAAGACCCGGACTTTACTAAAAATAGAAAAACTAGCTGGATGTTGTGGCAGGCACCTGTAGTCCCAGCTACTTGGGAGGCTGAGGGAAGAGGATGGCTTAAGTCCAAGAGTTTGAGGTTGCTGTGAGCTGTGATGATGACACTCTGGCCTGAGTGACAAGAGAGTCTGTCTCAACAAAAAAGAGATTAAAATGTATTTTTCTAATGATTTCATAGGTAGTGTCTTGGTCCTTTAATTTTATATTCTACTAAATTTACAAAAATGAAATATTCATGCATTAAAGACTGGAATAGTCTTGGTTTTGGTTTTTTCTTTTCAGTGATAGGACCTCACTGTTACTCAGGCTGGTCTTAGACTCCTCCTGGCCTCAAGTACTTCTCCTACCCCAGCCTTCTAGGGATCTGGGTTACTGGCCTGAACCACTGTGTCAAGACAAGACTGGAACAATTTTAAGTGGAAGAGTCTTTAAGAATTTTCATTTGAAACAAAATTTTTTTTTAAATTTTCTTTTTGTTGCAGTTTGGCCGGGGGCTGGATTTGAACCAGCCACCCTCAGTATTTGGGGCCCACTGAGCCACAGGTGCCACCCTTTTTTTTTCTTTTTTCTTTTTTTCATTGAATGGTAACTATGTACATTAATGCACTTCTGAGGTACAGTGTGGGGTTTTCACATGCAATCCGAAATACTTCCATCAAACTGGTCAACATAGCCTTCATGTCATTTTCTCAGTTATTGTTTTAAAATGTTCACATTCTACTCTTAGAAAGATTCACTTGTACCCCTATAAGATAAACAAACCTCAGAAGTGATCCCTCCAAACCCCCTCCCTCCACCCATTCCCCCCTCCTTTCTTCCTCCCCCCTCCCCATATTCTTAGGCTATTTGGTTATAGCTTTCATATAAAAGGTATAAATTAGTTTCATAATAGGGCTGTGTACATTGGATACTTTTTCCTCCATTCTTGTGATACTTTGCTCAGAAGAACATTCTCCAGCTCCATCCATGTGAACATGAAGGATGTAAAGGCTCCATCCTTCTTTATGGCTGCATAGTATTCCATGGCGTACATATACCACAGTTCGTTGATCTATTCATGGATCGATGGACACTTGGGCTTCTTCCATGACCTGGCAATTATGAATTGGGCTGCAATAAACATTCTGATACAAATGTTCTTTCTTTTTTCATTTGAAATATTTAACTTTCTCTTTTATTTTTTAAAATTCCCTCTACAAACCAAGTAATTTTGTTTAAAATTTAGTTTTGCTTATGAAAAATTCTTTTCATCAAAGAAACTTTTTCATGAAGTTTCTACTGAGATAATTAATTGTACACTGGCACGAAGCTGCTAGGAGTGAAAGACCCTGTTCACATTGCCCAGCTCCCTTGGGGAGTGTGACTTAACGTCCAGAATGTGGACCTGGCACAGTGTGCCAGTCTGGCTCACGTGTCCCCACTTGTACTTGCTTTGTGTGGGAAGAAATCAGATTTTATTCTTAGACAACTTCTGAAACACTAATTAGATCTGTGACCTCCGGGAAACCGTTAACCTGCTGCCTCTGCTTTCTCATCTGATTAAATCAGATACTTTGGATTGTCTTCAGAATCATTTGAGGGTGAGAATGTTCTGTAATTTTTGGATAATAGTGTTTTAAAATTGAAATTATACCTTTTTAACCTCTTATTTCTCTCTTTTTGGGTTTAGGAAGAAAAGGCTTCTCTTTTACATCGTACTCAGGAAGAAAGAAGAAAGAGAGAGGTAAAAATAGTTTTATAAAACTAAAGATAAGCTGGTTTTAGTTTTTATATGCATATATATACTGTATATGACATAATATGTGTGTGTGTGTTTAACTTTAGAAGCATTTTTGGATTTGTTGTATTTTACAGTAAGCCTTTTCTTCTGGAACCAGTAGAGAAAAAGATAAACTGAAAAGGTAGTTTCCACAGTGGAGTGGGAATAGGGGCTTTTGGTTGGCTTGCTTGCCTAAGATAGGGTTTCTAGAAAATCTAGAAAGCCTTAGTGTATAATGTTGATATTTTATCAAACAGAAGGAGAAAACTCGCTGGTTAGGGGTGTATCTTAACTATTTGTCAAGAAGATAAAAGAGTTGATAGCATTTCTTGTTTTATTCTTTGTCTTACATTTTATCTTTCTGCTTATTTCTTAAAATAGCTTTACTTTGTTGATTAGTTAGCAATTATTGTATCTTATGGCCTGCTTTTTAGATAGGGCTTTTAATATTTTGATACTTTGACAACTCATTCATGCCTTTGGCAAACATTTGTTGAGAGCTTTGCCCCAGGTGCTGTCCCACCTGCTGGATGCACAGACAGTGAGGGTGACAGGCAGTCTCTGGGGAGGCCTGCGTGGACAGGGTAAGGGGATTGGTGTGGAACTAATTCCTCAAGGATGGAAAAGAAGCTGCCTCTGAAAAAGCTGGAGGAAGAACATTTTTGGTGCAAGGAACCGTAGATGAAAACACTTTCAGGCAGGATCTCCCAGCCTTGGCACTGTGGGCGTTCTGAACAGACCGTTCTTTGTTGGGGGAGCGTCCTGTATGTGGGACAATGTTAGCAGTGTCCACAGCCTTTCCCTAGATGGAGTAGCAGCACTCTCTCCCCTAGTTATGGCCACCAAAAATGTCTGCAGATACACAAAACATCTGCTGGGCAGTGAACCTTCCTCAATTGAATCACTACTCTGCCAAGAAAGGTGTTTGCTGGTTGGTGCTTTTAATTTTCATTGTTATTATTATTTTGATAAAACTTTGAGCCGTTGTCTGTTCTAATACTGCTTTTGCTCCATTCTGCTTCTCTTCTTTGAACTCAAATTGCAAATATATTTGACTTTGGCCTTGTATCCCACATTCTTGTGGGTGCTTTTCTGTATATTTATACTTTCAAATATCTATGCATCAGTTTGGATAATTTTCTTCTGACCTGACTTCTAATTTATTTTTTTTTTATACGACTTCTAATTTATAAATTAACTCTTGAGCATCATCTAATTGTTAAATATATCCATTGAGCTTTTTGTTTTCTGTTTATTTGTTTGCTTTTTTTGAGACAGAGTCTTGTCTTAACTTATCAAGGGTGATAGAGTGCTGTAGTGTCACAGCTCACAACAGCCTCAAACTCTTGGGCTCAAAGCGATCCTCTTGCCTCAGTCTCCCGAGTAGCTGGGACTACAGGCACCCATCACAATACCCAGCTGCCTCAGCCTCCCAGAATTCTCGGATTACAGGTGTGAGCCGCTACTTATGCCCAGCGTGTTTTATGTTTTGTAAAGAAGAAGCAGAAAAGTCTCCATGTGTTGTCTAGGCTGGAGTGCAGTGGCATAGCCATAACTCAGTGCAGTCTCAAACTCCTGAGGTTAACCTGTTCTCTCACCTCAGCCTCCTAAGAAGCTAGGACTACGGGTATATGCCATAATGCCTGGGTAATTTTTTTATTTTTTGTAGAGACAGGTCTTGCCGTTGCCCAGGCTATGAGCTTTTAATTAAGTGCTCTTAGAATAATGATTGCAAAACTAGATTAAAACTGACAAGTTTTCTTGTAACAGTTTCAAGCTCAGAAAGTATATTTCCTTGACCTGACAGTGTTCCCTAACCCCAGGGTTATGGGAGGAGCTTTGAGTGTCTGAGTGTTTCAGGTGGGTGGGTGGCATTCACAGAACATGTGAGACAATGCACTGTGGTAAGGTGGAGCACACTCTAGTGTCGCACCTGAATTTGAATTTTAACTCTTGTACATCTGTGGGTATTGCTTAATCTTCACAAAAATATCAGGTTCTGCATCTTTAAATTGGAAGTAGTGCTCACCTGTAAGATTGCTGTGCAGTTGAACATGAAGTGCCTTTCAGGGCTGGCACAGAGTAGGCTCACAAACACCAGTAGCTGCAGTGTGTAAAATGGTGATGGTGAAGGATATTTTTTGTTGCCAGGTCACTGAAAACATTCAAGGCAGTCTCAAGTCAGTGGAAACTGGAGTTTTCTTTCTTTCTTTTTTTTTTTTAGAGACAGAGTCTCACTTTGTTGCCCTTAATAGAGTACTGTGGAGTCACAGCTCACAGCAACCTCTGGGCTTAGGCGATTCTTTTGTCTCAGCCTCCCAAGTAGCTGGGACCACAGGCGCCCGCCACGACACCCGGCTATTTTTTTGTTGCAGTTCGGCCGGGGCTGGGTTTGAACCCGCCCCCCTGGGTATATGGGGCCGGTGCCTGACTCACTGAGCCACAGAGCCGCCCTAAACTGGAGTTTTCTACTGATACAAGAAAGTGATCTTTAAGATGCATGTTTGTGTTCTTTTAATATTTGAATCTAGGGTGGTGCCCGTAGCTCAGTAAGTAGGGCACTGGCCACGTACACGGAGGCTGGCAGGTTCAAACCCGGCCGGGGCGTTGTGGTGGGCACCTGTAGCCCTAGCTACTTGGGAGGCTGAGGCAAGGGAATTGCTTGGACCCAGAAGTTTGAGGTTGCTGTGAGCTGGTGACAGCTTGAGACTCTGTCTCAAAAAAAAAAATATTTGAAACTAAAACTCCAAAAAAGTCACCCTATGCTGGTAAGATTGTACAATAGTGTTACCATTTTAGAAAACAGTGTGGCAGTTCCTCAAAATGTTAATTCCACTTATAGATGTCTAACCAAGGGAAATGAATACTGGTTTCCACAAATTCGTGAGTGTCCTTAGCAGCCTTATTCATAAGGGCTGAAAGCAGAAGCAGCCCAAGTGTCCCTGGGCAGATAGTGGATGAATGTAATGTGATCTTTCCATACAGTAGAATAGGGCTTGCATCTGTGAAATGAGGGAAGGTCTGTCACACTGAAAACAGCGCTCTTGAGTGTTGTGTGACTCCGTTATATGAAATGCTGAGAACAGGCAAATCTATGGAGATGAGAGTGCATTAGTGCTTGTTGGGGGTTGGGGGACAGAATGAGGGATGATTGCTGATGGGTACAGGATTTCTGTTTGGAAGTGATGAACATGTTCTAAAATTAGAACAGTGGCAATGGTTGCACAACTCTGCATATGGTAAAAATATATTCAGCAGATGGTATAAAGACTGAATTCTTTTTTTTTTTTTTTTAAGAGGCAGTCTCACTTTGTTGCCCTTGGTAGAGTGCCATGGCGTCACAGCTCACAGCAACCTCCAGCTCTTGGTCTTAGGGGATTCTCTTGCCTCACCCTCCTGAATAGCTGGGACGACAGACGCCTGCCACAACGCCTACCTATTTTTTTGTTGCAGTTTGGCCGGGGCTGGGTCTGAACCCACCACCCTCGATATATGGGGCTGGTGCCCTACTTACTGAAGCACAGGCACCGCCCCTGAATTTTTTTCTTACCAAAAGTCTTTATGAGCAAATGTCATTTTCGCTGATACTGACCGATTGCTCCCTCTCTCCTCCCTTCATTATTCAGGAAGAAAGGCGAAGACTGAAAAATGCAGTAATTATCCAGTCATTTATTCGAGGCTATAGAGATAGAAAACAGCAAGTAAGTTTGTTTTTAAAATAAAAAAAATTTGACCTTGTTATTATCAGTATTCACTTTGTATGTATTTTTGTACACCTTTTTATTGTAAGTTAATATTGATAATAGTATTATTCACAGTAAATAATTTTGTTATATAGAGATTTATAGACAGGTAAGATTTTTAGGTAGTTTTTAAGTAACAAAGTACAGACATAGAGCAAACCACAGCCTGAGATCAAAGCAGAAGGAAGGGGTAGAGAGTCTGCGTGGGCGCTCAGGGTCCTTCATTGCAGGTCAGATTGTTTTTTGAACTCTAGTATCAGCATGTTTATTATCCATTCCCACCACCCCATTAAAACATGTAGTGCGTCTTTAGATAAGGAGATGTCTGTGAGTGACTGGCTTGTGCTTGGTTTTGCTTTCAGTATTCCGTCCAGAGAAGTGCGTTTGATCGCTGTGCTCGCCTGGCACAGTCTGGCGGCTCCTTCCCCATTGCTAATGGTCCCAACCTTACCCTTTTGGTGAGGCAGCTTCTGTTTTTTTACAAACAAGATGAAGACTCAAAACGTTTGGTGAGTGTTAACTACATTTTCACTGGCCCTTGTTTATATATTTTTCATCTTCTTATTTTTTTTTTTAAGTGGGAATGGTGAGTATCTGATCAGGATGTCAGGTAACCCCCCTACTACATCTAAGCCTTTGTGAACTTCTCAGTGGCAATCAGTCACTTTTGTGGTAATGTGCTTTTCCTCTTAAAATTTGATATTCATTTTCAATAGGCTTTTTCATTTTTTATTATGGGAAATTTCACATATAAAAAGCAGTGGCATATCTTGACCCCTCTGCTGCGCACCCCTGGGCTGCCCTGGCGGTCCTCAGCACTCCCGCCTCCCTAGGAAGTGCACCCAGGTTTACTTCCTGTCCGTCTGCAGCCTCTGCAGCACAGGGGCTCTCATTTTAAAATACCCAAAATACAATTATATTTCTCTAAAAATGTTGTAGGCTTTTGGGATTGCCAGTGTTGAGGAACAGTCTGTTTAACAGTGGAAAATATATAGAGAGGAATAGATGAATGATTTTTTTTTTTTTTTTCTGGCAGAGTCTCAAGCTATTGCCTTGGGTAGAGTGCCCTGGCATCACAGCTCACAGCAACCTCAAACTCTTGGGCTTAAGCGATTCTTTTGCCTCAGCCTCCCAAGTAGCGGGACTATAGGTGCTGCCACAATGCCCAGCTGTTTTGGGTTGTAGTTGTCATTATTATTTGGCAGGCCTAGTCTGGGTTTCAAACCTGCCAGCTCTGACATATGTGGCTGGCACCCTAGCTGATGAGCTACAGGCCCTGAGCCTGATTTTTTTTTTTTAAGTTTTTTCATGATTTTTTTTTTTTTAATGTTGGGGGTTCATTGAAGGTACAAGATAGCAGGTTACACTGATTGCATTGTAAAGTCCCTCTTACAATTGTGACTTGCCCCTAAAAGGTGTGTCACACACTGAGACCCCACCCTCCTTCCTTTTCTCTGCTCTCCCCTTCCTCCACCCATACCATGTACTAGGTTATTAATGGTCCTCATATTAAAATTGAGTACATAGGATTCTTGCTGCTTTATTCTTGTGATGCTTTGCTAAGAATAATGTGTTCCACTTTCATTCAGGTTAATACAAAGGCTGTTAAAGTCTCCATCTTTCTTTTTTTTTTTTTTTTTTTTTTGAGACAGAGCCTCAAGCTGTCCCCCTAGGTAGAGTGCCGTGGTATCACAGCTCACAGAAACCTCCAACTCCTGGGCTCAAGCGAGTCTCCTGCCTCAGCCTCCCAAGTAGCTGGGACCACAGGTGCCTGCCACAGTGCCCAGCTGTTTTTTGGTTGCAGCTGTCATTGTTGTTTTGGTGGGCCCGGGCTGGATTTGAACCTGCCACCTTAGGTGTATGTGGCTGGTGCCTTTAGCCACTTGAGCCACAGGCACCGAGCCCTCCATCTTTTTTAATGACTGAATAGTATTCCATGGTCTACATATACCACAGCTTGTTAATCCATTCCTGGGTTGGTGGCCCTGATTATTTTTTTAAATGAAACTTTTAACTATCTATTTTCCCAGGAGATACAAAGAGATTCATATGCCATTATTAGGTTAGATATAGAAACTTTTATTTACTTGTATTAATTATAAACCTCAAATTATCTTAAAAAGTGATTATACAGCGAAAAGTGAGTGTTCCATGCTATAGACTACTGCACACACTAGAAAGGTCCTGAATTAGTGTGTATTAGTTCAGAGGACAGGGAATACTTTATTGTTTATCTACTTTGTGGTTTTAAAACCCAGCATCGCTGCCTGAGCTGAGCTAGTCTGAAACATGGTAAGAACTTTCTAATAACTGCCAATCTAGTAAAGTAGTCAAAGTAGTTTGTTTATTTTAGAGTCTCCCTTTGTCACTCAGGCTGGAATGAGAAGTCTGATCTTACATGCAGCCTCAAACTCCTGGGCTCAAGTAATCCTCTGCCTCAGCCTCCCAAGTAGCTGGGACTATAGGCGTATACCACCACACCTGCCTAATTTTGAAAATTTTTGTAGAGATGGAGTCTAGCTATATTGCCCAGGCTGGTCTTGAACTCCTGGCTTCAAGTGATCCTCCTGTCTTGGACTCCCAAACCTCAGAAACATACACCAGTGGATAACCTGGCTTGCTTTCTAGAATAGGCTGTCCTCATCCTCACATGCTCTAATCTTGTAGATTGAAAAGTCACCAAGGAGCACAGACATGCAGGTGCTTAGGGGTGTCAGTAGGTGTCTCTCCAAGGCACCTTTTGTGTGTGAGGCTGAACCAGTGCTCACTGCATGGTTTCTAGATGGGGGGTTGCACAGCCTTGCCCCAGAAGCCAGCAGTGAAAAGGTTGTAGGTAAATGAACACATTTGACTCTAGGCCTCAAGCAACTACAGAGCAAATTACTTATTGCAGATTATAAAACAGTAAATAGTATTCAGTGTCATCAAACCTGGTTCATACAAGAAAAGTGAACTTAAATGTCTATTAAGTTTGCAAGCAAAGATGTGAGAGCAGTGAATTAATCACTTATAAGGAGGAAGTGTCTCCTGTCCCAGGTTTCAAGTTCCCTGGTTCTCACTCTAGGAGCATACATGATGCCATTTCTGATAGTTTTCAGAGATACTCTGTGAAAATAAGTATACACAGCTGTTTCTTCCTTACCTCCCTTTTTCACATTTTTAGGACTTTAAGGTATTCTGCTAAATCAAATAGAATAATAGCATTATTTTTTTTATGTGCAGTTTATCTGTAGTTATTAGAGTTAGTAATTGTCTCACTTTTTAGTCATTTAATTTTCTTTTGAGAAAAACTTATTTATTAATTGGGGACAGGATCTCACTCTGTTGCCCAGGCTAGAGTGCAATTATTTCATCATAGCTTACTGTACCTTCAAACTCCCGGGCTCAAGGGATCCTCCTGCCTCAGCCTCCTGAGTAGCTGGGACTACAGGTATCTGCTGCCAGCCCCAGCTAATTTTTCTGTTTATTTTTAGAGATGAGGTCTCAGTAAGTTGCCCAGGCTGGTCTCAAACTCCTCTCCCTCAGGCGGTCCTGCTTCAGCCTCCCAGACTGTTGGGTGAATCTCTGTATAAGGCTTTCCTCCCTCATCCACCAGTCCCTGCACTGCACTTCTCAGCAGCTTTCCCTGGGACTAAAGCCGTTACACCTTCTCTTTCCCCTGGAGCTCTTCCACTAGCGTCCTTTGATCCACCTTCTTGGGCCAGTTTGAACTGGTTGCTTTCCAGGCCTGCCACTATCCTGGGACACCTTTCGATTTGCTTTATTTTTGTTATACAGCCTTTCTTCTCGATTCCATATTTTTTTGTTTTTTTGGTGTATTCCCTTATGTTATTGATACAGATCCTAAATTGACTTCTTGAGAAACAATCCCTAAGGAGGAATGTTTTAAGAACTTTATCTGTATTTAGTTGATAACAAAAAAATTAAGGCAGATATTTAATGTAGTGATAAATGAGAATTTTTTGAATGACATTGGTGCATTTGTCAAGATGTAGCAGTCAGGTTCAGCACCCATAGCACAGTGGTTACAGCGCCAGCCACATGTACCAAAGCTGGCGGGTTTGAACCCCTCCTGGGCCCAGTTAAACAATAATGACAACTGCAACAACAAAAAAAATAGCCAGGCGTTGTGGCAGGCACCTGTAGTCCCAGCTACTTGGGAGGCTGAGGCAAGAGAATCGCTTAAGTCCAAGAGTTGGAGGTTACTGTGAGCTGTGACACCAGTGCTCTACCCACGGCAAAATAGTGAGACTCTGTCTCAAAAAAATAAAACATTAAATTAAAAAAAAAAAAGATGTAGCAGTCAGTATCAAAGCCCTGTCCAGAGACTATTGATGTTTACATATCATATATTATTATTAATGCTTTGGTGTCTTTTATTTCACAGACAACTTGAAGCAACTTGTTATATTTAGAGCCTAATTTGTATTGGTCCTACAATGAACTGTTGATAATGTATAGTTATTGTGTATCTTACTTTTATTTAATAGGATGAGCATATTGAAAGTGTCTTACTAGTTTCTGAGAAAATGGGGATGAGGTAGCTCCAAACAGCTCAAGAAGAAAGCTTATGTGTAGGCAGATTAATATTTGGAGTGGGTCACAAAATTATTTCCTCTATATAATTATGCATGCTCTATAATTTGTTAAGTAATGTAAAGAGCTTTGCATTAGTATTTTCATTGCTTAATAACATTATATATCAAAGAAATGTTAATGTCAAAGGAAAAACCACTTAAAAATAACAGAACAAGAAGGTTATGTGGCACATTTATAATAAGCCACATTTAAGATGCTTTTAATTCCAGCTGGTTCTAAACGGGGCTCATGAAGTGAAAAAACAAATTACCAGTCTGTTTCACAGAAACATAGTAGAGAAAGTGGAAGAAATTGCTTGTTAGGTAGTTTTTTTCAAAATCATTTATGGCATCTATGTATGTACTATGTAGTCAAATCTCTTGAATGCAAGTGACTGAAATCTGGCTCAGCTGGTTCTGAACTTAATGACTAATCCTTGTATCCAGGAGAAGGGGGTGTTCTGGCCAGCCTGGCACGTACCTGACCTTGTACTGGGCATAGTAGGGTCGGGGTTCTATGATTGCCTTCCCTATGGAAAGTTCATGGAGTTAGGGAAGGGCAAAGTATCCATAAGGAAAGGATGCTGGAGGGAGAGAGACACACACACACAGAGGTAAAAATAAATAGATATGGCCCATGTAACTCATGATTAATATTGCATTTCTCATATGTTTTTATTATGAATTGCTGGTTTTTGCAGATGAACTGTTTTTGTTTCAGATTGACATGAACTTTAAGTGTACTTTTCAGAACTAATTAATTAAAATTAATTTTTATTAAGTAATTTAGGTTAATTTTTTTTTTTTTTTTTTTTTGAAACAGAGTCTTGTTCTATCACCCAGGCTAGAGTACAGTGGCACCATCATAGCTCACTGTAACCTCAAACTCCTGGGCTCATGTGACCTCCTACAGTTATGGTGCTATAGGCATACACTACCATGCTTAGCTAATAACTTTTCCATTTTTTTGTAGAGATGAGATCTTGCTGTTGTTCAGGCTGGTCTCAAACTCCTGAACTCCAGCCATCCTGCCGCAGCCTCTCAAAGTATTAAGATTACCAGCATGAGCCACCACACCTACTAGCCCTAATGTGTTATTTTTAAGATAAAGAGTGCAAATATTGGGGCGGCGCCTGTGGCTCAGTGAGGAGGGCGCTGGCCCCATATACGAAGGGTGGCAGGTTCAAACCCAGCCCCGGCCAAAGTACAAAAAAAAAATAGCTGGGCGTTGTGGTGGGCACCTGTAGTCCCAGCTATTTGGGAGGCTGAGGCAGGAGAATTGTCTAAGCCCAAGAGGTGGAGGTTGCTGTAAGCTGTGATGCCACAAGACTCTACCGAGGGCAACAAGACTGTCTATTTAAAAAAAAAGTGCAAATATTGCAAATTAAAACCTGACTTAGAAGATTTACTACTTACCAAGTTTTGATTTTGTTTGATTAAGTATGTCTTACCACTTAAAGCTGTTTGGAGTATTATACACATTAACAAATGATTAGATTTTAATGGTTAGGAGTTGTGCTTTGTGTGTCTTACTGTTTCAGATATGGCTGTATCAGAACTTAATTAAACACAGTGCACTGTTTGTCAAGCAGTTGGATGGATCCGAGAGACTTACATGCTTATTTCAAATCAAGAGATTGATGAGCCTCTGTTGCAGGTAAATTCTATCATAGATATACAATGTATTGACCACTTTGAATGTCTAGGAGAACACCTTTTGTTTTCATTTTCTGAGACAGTGGTTTTTCCATGATTTTTTTTTTTTTAGACCTTAGAATATGGTCTGTGTAATTTCCATTTTTACTCTGGGTGATCTGGCTGGTATGACAAATCAAAACACAGATATCTTCCAGGTGATAATTTCTTTCAAAGATGTCCTGGAATTATCTTGTGAAATGTTGGATGTCTTGGTTCCTGGGGAATAGAGGCTACTCAGGAGTGGACTCTTGATGGTGGAAGTGACTTCATTCCATCAGGGCTGCTGCCAGGATAGAGTTTGAAAGCCACTTCTTGGGAATACACCTTTCATCAGGCTCTCTTACTTTTTATGTATGAATTCAAAATAAGTCACTCCATAACTTCCTTCGATTAAGTCTACAAAAGAGCATATTTAGGTGATGTGAGCTATATTACCTGAACATAACAAACCGAGATACCAAGCCAGTTTTCAATAAATTGCTTATATCTGCACAGTGATAAAATTTTCACACGATTTTGGGCCTTCAATATAATTGGAGTTAATTTTTTTTTTTTCTGGAGACAGACTCTTACTTTGTCACCCTTGGTAGAGTGCCATGGCATCACAGTTCACAGCAACCTCCAACTCCTGGGCTTAGGCAATTCCCTTGCCTCAGCATCCCAAGTAGCTGGGACTATAGGCACCTGCCACAACGCCTGACTATTTTTTTGTTGCAGTTTGGCCAGGGCTGGGTTTGAACCCAACACCCTCAGTATATGAGGCCAGCACCCTACTCACTGAGCCATGAATGCCACCCAATTGGAGTTAATCTTCTGGAAGCTGCCTATAATAAAGTTTATTTAAGATTGCTGTTGGAAGTAGACTAATTGATTATTCCAAAATACTTAGTGGAAGTAAAGAGCAGAGAACCTGTTAGAGAACCAGAGAGATCCCAGATTCTAAGAATTCATACTTTTACCTAACTTCTTTTATTTCATAGAAAAACTTTGTTTGAAAATGCATTGTGTACATTCATTATATGAAGGAGGAGTTTGCAAACTTTTTTTGTAAACAGCTAAATAGCAAGTATTGTAGAGTTTGCACCCCTGTCACCCAGGGTATTAGCATCTGTTGATGATCTGTGCCTGAATCAGTTGTAATATCATTTATCTATGGTTTGAGGAGTAGAGATTCTTCTAACTCTCTTGTTTCTTTAGTGTTTATGAGCTGGTGTTATTTTGTAAAGACCCTTCTGTCCCTTTAGTCTCAGTAAGGTCTTATGTATTTTTTTAAAACATAATCCCAGCAGTGTGAGACGCCAAAGGCAAGAGGACAGGAGGATTGCCAGAGGCCGGGAGTTTGAGCCTAGGCAACATAGCAAGACCCCACCTTTACAAAACAAAGTTAAAGATCATCCAGGCATGGTGGCACCTGCCTGTAGTCCCAGCTACTCAGGAGGCTGAGACAAGAGGATTGCCTGAGCCCTAGTGTTCAAGGTCACAGTGAGCTATGATTGAGCCATTGCACTCCAGCGTGGGTGACATGACTGTCTCTTTTGGCTTGACCCCAGGGGTGTTTTTGAGAGAGTTCTGCTTTGACCACAGAATGTCCCTGGCTCAACTTGTGCTTTCTCTGCCCAGGCCTGGGGCTGTTTTCTCTGAGAAGTTTTGATGTTTTTGGTGAGAAATGGAATTTTGACAAAGTGAAACTTAAAAATGTTTAAAATCTTATTTCAAGTGTGTGATGTCAATGAACCAACAGTCTTGCCTAGTGTGTGTGGAGCATTGTATTTTAGCTGTACTGGGTACCTGAGAATGGTACCCATAGGGCTTCAAGATCACTTTTGAGAAACTAGAAAAGAAGTAGAGTTTCATGTTATGTAAACGTAAATGAATTAACAAAACAAAAACTGGTGCCGTGTGACTGTGGAGACAAATGGAATTGGGTGGTGCAGCGTTGGAGTACGGGTCAGAGGAGCAGGGTCTGGTGCTGATGCTGTGGCCAACCAGCTCTCGTTACCCCACGGTAAGTTACTGGGCCCCATTCCCTTAATTGTGGAATGGGGCCATTTGACTAGACATGTCCTTCTGAACCCACTGTTTCAGTCCATGATGACCACTCAGGCTGCTTTTCCCTATAGATGTCATCAGGGGCTGTTAGCATCACTAGGCTAGTATCTAGCACAAATTCTTTTTTAAATGATGTTTTTAGAGGCAGGGCTCACTCTTGCCCAGGTGGGATTGCTGTGGAACTTGACAGGTGCAAACTCCTGGGCTGAAGTAGCCTTCCTGCCTCAGCCTCCTGAGCAGCTGGGCCTGCAGGTGCACACACCATGCCTGCCACAAATTCTTAAAAGTTTTCTGTGTCATTTTTATTCAGCACTAACATTGTTTGCAAACAGATTTTTGTCTACTTAAGTAAATTTACTTTGAAAATAAAGATAATTGGCCACACCCATAGCTCAGTGAGTAGGGCGCCGGCCACTTACACCAAAGCTGGAGGGTTCAAAGTTGGCCCGGCCCTGCTAAAAAACAGCAATGACAGGCAGCACCTGTGACTCAAGTAGGGCGCTGGCCCCATATATTGGAGGTGGCGGGTTCAAACCCAGCTCCGGCCAAAAACTGCAAAAAAAGAGAAAGAAAGAAACTCTGCTTTGGGCAGCCCCTGTGGCTCAGTTGATAAGGCACTGGCCCCATATACCAAGGATGGCAGCTTGAAACCCAGCCCTGGCCAAACTGCAACAAAAAAATAGCCAGGTGTTGTGGCGGGCACCTTTAGTCCCAGCTACTTGGGAAACTGAGGCAAGACAATCACCTAAGTCTGGAAGTTGGAGGTTGCTGTGAGCTTGTGACTCTACTGAGGATGATAAAGTGAGGCTCTGTCTCAAAAAAAAACAAAAACAGCAATGACAACTGCAACCAAAAAATAGCTGGGCATTGTGGTGGGCTCCTATATAGTCCCAGCTACTTGGGAGGCTGAGGCAGGAGAATCGCTTAAGCCCAGGTTTGAGGTTGCTGTGAGCTGTGATGCCACAGCACTCTACCAAGGGATGACATTAGTGAGACTCTCTCAAAAAAAAAAAAGAAAGAAAGATAATTTGAAAAGCTCATGAATATTTACACTAATTGCATTTCTTCTATGGTGAGTATCCATTAGGAATGACTTTAGGTAGGCTGACAAAGCCTAGGTGGGTGGATTGCCTGAGCTCAGGAGCTCAAGACCAGATGTCTTAAAAAAAAAAAAAAAAAAAAACCAGCCGGGTATTGTGGTGGGCACCTGTAGTCCCAGCTAGTTGGGAGGCTGAGACAAGAGAATTACTTGAGACTGAGAGTTTGAGGTTGCTGTGAGCTATGATGTCCTGGCAAGAGCAACAAAGTGAGATTCTGTCTCAAAAAAAAGAAAGAAAAAGGACTGACATAAGGGTTGACGCATCTGCACCTCAACTTGCTGGACAGAGCTTGTGAGGCTCCTCGAGATGCTAGCTCAGATCTCTGTGCTGTTGTGGCTGTGAGGTGTCAGGAGGTTCTTGATCTCCTGGAGCTTATATCTAGTCTGGCAGGTCAAGAAAAAACACAAACAAGTATGAATGTTTTTACACAGAAAAAGTAAATGTTAGCTCAGCACCTGTGGCTCAAGTGGCTAAGGCGCCAGCCACATACACCTGAGCTAGAGGGTTCCAATCCAGCCTGGGCCCGCCAAATAACAATGATGATGGCTGCAACCAAAAACTAGCCAGGCATTGTGGCAGATGCCTGTAGTCCCAGCTACTTGGGAGGCTAAGGCAAGAGAATTGCTTAAGCCCAGGAGTTGGAGGTTGCTGTGAGCTGTGATGCGATGGCACTCTACCCAGAGTGACAGCTTGAGGCTCTGTTTCAAAAAAAAAAAAAAAGTAAATGTTAAATGTTGAGATAAAAAGGAGGAAATTAGTTTTGTGGGTTCTGATGGGAGAGTGACTCTTCTGTTAGTGATCCTCTGGCCAGAAAGGCCTTGCTGAGGAGGTGACTTAGAAGGGAGGGGATTATCAGAGCAAGTTGTTAGCTGGGGTTGAGGCCAGCCTGGTGTGCAGCTGAGTGCCAAGTGAGAAGACACTCCTGGCCGGCTGGAGATTTTCTCTTACCACTCTCAGCTTCTGTGCTGAGAGCAGGGAAGCTAAAGGAAAATTGTGAGCAAAGAGGGGAGTGAGCTGACTTCTCTGTTTCTTATAATTTCTGTTATGTAAAATTTCAAGTATGAAAGAGTAGAAAAGTGGTACAGTAAATGCTCCTTGCCTCCGTATGGACTCAAGAATCTTTAATAACATTGTTGACCATGGTTAACAGTGTGCTGAGCGATTGCCAACTGACGTAGTGACTCTCCACTCCCTAAATACTGCACATTTGTTTCCAGAGACGCTTTCCTACAGATTCACTCTCCTACAAACCATGATGCCGTTGTCACAGCCACAGAGCAGCATTATTTTTTCAACAGAGTCTGTGACCACACATTACCTTTGATGTCTTCTCAATCTTTCCTCTAGAACAGCCTGTCTTTCCCCCATACTGCCAGCTTATGTTGTTGTTTTTGTTTTTGTTTTTGTTTTTTTTTTGTTTTTTTTTTTTGTAGAGAGAGAGTCTCACTTTATCACCCTTGGTAGAGTGCTGTGGCATCACACAGCTCATAGCAACCTCCAACTCCTAGGCTTAGGTGATTCTCTTGCCTCAGCCTCCCAAGTAGCTGGGACTACAGGGGCCTACCACGACGCCCAGCTGTTTTCTTGTTGCAGTTTGGCTGGGGCCGGGTTTGAACCCACCACCCTCAGCATATGGGGCCGGCCCCCTGCTCACTGAGCCACAGGCATCGCCCTCCAGCTTACATTTTAATAGATTCTGGCCAGTGTGTTGAACAGGGACTATAGGAGAAGGAGGGCAGGAACAGGGACCAACTAGGGATGTAGTAATCAGAAAGAAGTGGCAGTGGCCTGAACTGAGCTGGTGGCATAGAGGGTGGCTTCTAGACAGCTGACAGGATTTGCAGACAAACTGGCTGTGGAGTTTCAGACGAGGAGCGAGGCTGCATACAAACTTTTGATCTGAGCATCATTCTAGAAGGATGGAGTCGTCATAGGACTAGGGTGGATTCCTGCGGGTGGGATTGAGTGCATGTGTGGAAGAGGGGATGCTCCATAGGAGGAGTTTGCAGGGGCAGAAGGGGCCTAGGAGGAAGGCAGGGTCTGAGGTCCAGGAGAACAGAAGGCACAGAAGGGGAGAAGGGGATGTGGTTGCATAGATGCTGCTGGTGGACGACAGGTGGGATCAGAAAATACAAGGTGAAGTCAGAGTTCGTAATGTTAGATGTTATCTGTCCAAAAGGTAAAATCAGAGTTGCAAGTAAACACATATCAAAGAATTTTTATTAACTATTAATTGATAAGGGACCCTGAAAGACATTGCAGCTGATTTACGTGAGTCTCCACCTCACTGAAATTTATATTGTCTCTGGTACAGTTGGATTGCCAGGAGCAGGAAGAACTCGTATAGCTCAGGTTGTGAACATTGGTATGACTTACCAGTTTTCTGCAAGCTGACTTCTGTCTCTGCAGAGCTGCAAAGCAGCCCAGTGGATACGGTGTGGTGATAACCGGTGGGTGGGCTGGGCAGCACACTCGGTACCCTCCTCCCTTTTTGCCTGTTACACAGTCTTTTTGACTTAACACTCAGTAATACCTTGCTGACCTGGGAACACTGCTGAGTATACAGGCGTGGGCGGGAGGCTGTGCAGACGTGGAGGGGCAAGACATGGAGTCACAGCTAATATGAGCAGAGGGCAGCATTCCTGCAACTTGGAACAATAAGTAACATGTTTGTGGATGATGTGGAGAAGAATTACTGGAACAGAGTTACAGCTTCTCTTGGTACAATTTGTGGATTATAATACTCGTCGCTCTGTGTTAGTAATCTGTGTCCATGTCTTAACGTCTGTAAACCTTGTATCCGTCGTGCTGTTTGTCACATGATAAGGACTCTTTTAAAACTGGTTGACTGAATGATCATTGCCCTGTCTTTGAAGTATGCCTATTTTCAGAGATGATCTAACACTAGAATAGGGGAGCTCAGGTACTTATTGTGGTGACAGAGAGTAATTTGGGGAAAATTTTGGTGACTTTTGCCATGTAGCAAATTAGCAAATTTTTTTTTAAATTTTTATAGGTTGTTGCAAAACTGTAATGACGACAGTTTGAATGTTGCACTTCCAATGAGAATGCTCGAGGTGTTTTCATCTGAGAACACTTACTTGCCTGTTTTACAAGATGCTAGCTACGTGGTATCAGTAATTGAACAAATTTTGCACTACATGATTCAAAATGGTAAGTAGCAGGTGGGGTAAGAACTGTGGTTCGGTGTCATCGTGTGATGTAGGTGCAGCCAACATGCTCTTAGCACTGACATCAACGTGGAAATGGAGCCGTAGCATCGCGCACAGGTGAGGGTGCTACAGGAGTCCCAGGCTTCAATGCCTGTCCTGGGCGTCATCCACTTTGAAATATTAGAAGCACACTATTTTCTTTTAGTTGGAAATAAAGAAAATTAATGTATGCTTTTAGAAATTGTCCCAAGTACTTGAATGCAAACTTTACATGTGCAGTGAAGCTGTCAGTCATGGAAGGACTGAGCACGAAGGGGGTCTCCTCCCTGCATGATTGTCCTGAGTGGGTGGGAAAGATGACACCAGCAACGCAGGAGATAAGTTGTCCGAAGAGCTTGTCTTACTAAGAAGTAAAGTTTATTGTTAACTAGATGTGATGGCTCACACCTGTAATCTCAGCACTTTATTGAGAGGCTCAGGTAGGGAGGGTCAGTTGCACTCAGGACTTTGAGACCAGCCTGGGCAACAGAGTGAGATCCTGTCTTAACAAAAAAATTTAAAAAATTAGCTGGGCATGATGGTGCCTGTAGCCCCAGATGCTTGGGTTGTTGAGAAAGAAGGGGAATCACCTAAGACCAGTGATTGGAGGCTGCAGCGAGCTGTGATGGGGCTACTGTACTCCAGCCTGGGCAGCAGAATGAGAACATGGCTCAGAAGAAAAAATAAATCTTGACAGATTATTCTTACTAAAAGAATGGTAAACCCTCATATTAGTGCAGTAGAATGGGATATTTAGTTTATTTGAATTTTCCTTTTATAACTCATTGTTAATGCTTTTATACATTGATACCATCCTTAAAGTGGCTGTATTATATAAAGTATAATAAACTATATCTGAAATTGCTCTGAGGATGTTCATGACACTTTTAGAGAAAAACTATGAAATAAATATTTAGAAAACCTTTATGATGACATGAGTAGTATAAAATCTAAAATAGGAAACAATCTCATTATTCTCACAAGTAAAAAGCCAAATAAATACTTCAGGGCTCTTAGACTTTAGAAGTGTAATTTAGCATCTTTAAAAAAAATATATAGGCTCGGCGCCTATAGCTCAACCGGCTAGGGCGCCAGCCACGTACACCTAGGGTGGCGGGTTCGGATCCCCAGCCCGGACCCGCCAGACAACAATGACGGCTGCAACCAAAAAAAAAAATAGCCGGG